TTTTGTGTTTCTTTAAGGACTTCATCCTGTTTACCTGTGTTCTCCTCAAGTTTTTTGATAGTGTTATTTATGTCCTTCTTATAGTCCTCTATCATCATCATTAGAAGTGATTTTAGATCTGGTTCTTGCTTTCCCGGTGATATGGGGAGTACAGGACTTTCTAATGTGGGAGAACTAGGTTCTAATGATGGCAAGTACCTTGGGTTGCTGGTGCTTGTGTTCTTGCGCTTGCCTTTCACCATCTGGATCTCCTTTGTGCTATCTGTGCTGTCTCTGACTGGAGCCTGTCTTTCCTATTATCTAGGTTGTGTCAGAACTGTTTGGGATGGATTTTGCTGCTGGGGTTAGAGCTGAGGCCCAAGATCTGCTCAGTGCTCAAGTGGAAACCGGAAGGGGACCAGGGTCCGTGTCAGGAGTAGATTCCTGGGTCCCAGTTGGTCCAGGTTGCTCCCTGATTGGGGCAAGTATTGCCACTTCATAGCCTAAGATACTGCTTGTGTTAGAGCTCCTGAGAGCCCCAATTTCTCTGGGTTCTGTGAGATTGGGTGCAGAGCTGACTCCCGGGATCTGCCGAGTGCTAGGGTCCAGACTGGAATGAATCACGCTCCAGGCCAGGAGTGAATTCCTGGGCCCCAGTGGGTCCCTGTTACCCCCTGTTTGGGGCAAGTGTCGCTTTTTCCTTACCTGGGATGCTGCTTGAGTTAAAGCTCTTGGGAGGTCCTCTTTCTCTCTGTTTTCTGAGGTTGGATACAGAGCTGCTGCCTGTCCAGATAAGACTTTCAATCAGCCTTATATTCCAAAGAATAAACAAGTCATATCCTATAATGCACTGCATCTGAGTAGAATGTCTAGTAGTGTTGATGCTTTAAAAGTATTTTTAATTTATAATACTTTCTGTAGGAGGAGCTAAGGTGAGAGGAGCTAGGAGAGGAAGAGGAGGAGTAAGGAGGAGAGGAAGAGAAAAAAGGAAGAGGAGGAGCTAGAGAGGGCAGAGATGTAAGAGGATGGAAAACCATGCAGGTATGGAGAGCAGTGCGGGTAACTACTTTTATTTAGGTTTGCTAATTGGGAAACAACTCTCTTTGTATGGGCATCTTGTTATTAATCTCTACCAAACATATAAAGCCTTTGACTAATCTATACGAATTAGAGTCTCATTCTCTTACTGTACCTGCATGGATGGCAGAATGGTCTGGACAATGCCCTGCCTTGCAGAGACAGCGTGGAAGATTGGCAGAGCCATCTCTCACGCTGGCATCTAGTGGATGGTAGGGCTGGTTTCTGGCAAGCCGGTTCTAGCTGCAGTGTGCACATGGCCTCAGGCCGAGAAACATGGCGGCTGGGCTAGGCAGAGCCGCTGCAGCTTAGATAGTTGGCTTGACCCAGAGGCTGATTTAAATAATTACCACAACTTTCAACCATTTTTAGACATATGTGTATCAGGGGCAGGGGAAAGTTATATGTGTGTACATGTAGTGTTTGTATGTGTGTGTGTGCATGCATGTGCATGCATTTGTATGCATATACCAAATAGGAAGGCCAGGCAAAGAGTCCTAGTGTCAGTACTCCCTTGAGATGGGCTCTCTCACTGGTCCTGTACCTCTCTATTGTGACTAAGTTGATTGGTCAGCCAGCCAGAGTTATCCTCCTTTCCCTGCCCTATATAACAAGGTGCTTACAGTCAGCCATGTGAAGACTGGATTTTTGTGACTACTGGGGATTCAAACTCAGGTCATCAGGCCTGCACAGCAAGCACTCTTACCCACTGAGCCATTTCTTCAACTCTACAAGATTTTCCACTGCTGAATGGTTTATCTAACCAAAACACTATCAAAAAGTCAAAGAGCATCTGCATTCATGTGTTACTGGGTCAAAAGTTCCATAGCTATTCATTTGTTCTGGCTTTGCCACTATTTTTTAAGTCACTCTTCTGTTTACTCTTTACAGACAAAAATAGGGTTATGGAATTCAGGCATAGACCCTGGATTTTTTTTGTTTTGTGTTGTGTTGTTCTTTCTTCCTGCCATCTATCTGAAACAGTCATGTTGACATGAATATAACTCATCCATTTCCCTAAGGTATTTAGCTTCTTAGCTTGGTTTGCACTGAGTGTTATCCATACACATTCTCTACTGCCATTTTACCCACAGGGTTAATTTCAACCTGTTTGTTAAACCCAATATTTCCTTCTCTTCCTCTCTTAGCTTCTCCCTGATCCACCAAAGTAATTACTCTCTCCCTGTTTCTTGTCATCAGTGTATTATAGCAAACTTCATTGCAATTATTTTCTGACATTTCTGGTCCTGGGAATTAATTGAAAGAAAGCTACAATATTTGAAGTATATTTAGATATGCAGCACCTAGGAGTGTCTGATATATGACAGATATCTGGTAAATATTTCAGGGCATAAACAGATTAATTAATAAATTAATGGACCACTTGTTTCTCTTTTCTCAATGGCACTGTGATTATTTTTAATTCTTGCTAAATGATTCAAACAAATTTGATGTGAACTTGTTGACATGTCATGTTTAAGATTGTGCTATCTCTTTATTAATGTGTCCTTACAGACTAGAAGTGTTTATGCCAATGAAATAAACAAAAAGATGCACAAAACATAATATTACCCAAATTTAGGAAGTATTTAGTCTTTAGTTTGACTTTAATTTCTAAGCTAGTGGTGATATTCACTGCCTGTTTCTAGTACCTCATGGATGTTGTGTAATATTAAAGGCTTTTTCCATATTTACTACTGCACAGTTTGCAGCACACTGTCATCCTGACCTCATCAATATGTTCTCAACATAGTCGTGAAGGTTGAGAGAACAGACCAGCAGAACTACCACCGTTTGATTTCTGTTTTAATAAACAAAATAAATATATTGCCTTATACATCACAACTAACTGTACATCATTCTTATTTTATTTCTAGATGTTCTTCTAGGCTATGCAACTTGATCTCTGAATAAAGCTAGTGTGAGAAGCAATCTCCCAATCTACCCCAAACTGATAACTACAGAACAGAATGGGAAATCAAATGGTCTTGGGTTGGAGTTTTAAATCTACCTTTGATGGACTTTATGATTTTAGATAAGCTACCTACCTGACACATCTGTGTTTCAATTTCCTCATCTAGGGAAAAAGGAAAAAAATTACTTCCTTTATCTTGAATTTTTCTTAGGGCGGAGGGAGTTATACAGCTTACACTTCCACATTGCAGTTCATCATCAAAGGATGTTAGGACAGGAACTCAACAGGTATAGAACCTGGAGGTAGGAGCTGATGCAGAGGGCGTGAAGGAGTACTGCTTACTGGCTTGCTCACAACCTCGTCTATTTTCAAAACTTTCTATTGGTTCTTCATATATTTCACATCCTGTTCCCCAGTCCTTTGCACTCCTGTCTACTGTTGCAGTCTTCCCCTCAACAGAGTAAAACAATTTTGCTGAGGAAGCTATAGTGTGTCACAGTGTGTCCAACAGTATAGAATTTTGTCTCCATTTCTTTGCTTGCAAATGTTTATTGCAATGACTCGTTGGTCTGGTGCAAAGCCTCTGCCTTCTGCTACTCTATCAATATTGGAAATCCTCTTAAATATCCTGCTGTTGCCCTTTGTCACAGATATCCTGTATTTTTTGATCTGTAGGACCAGCCCTTCAAGTACTCCAGCAGTTCATCCATGGGCTAGATGTTGGAGTAGGTCAATTCAATGCCCTGGATCTAGGCCTGAGAGGGATCTGAGCCTGCTGGATCTCCCACTCTCATGCCCCCAGAGCCAACTCACCAGCAACCTCTGCAACCAGGGCCAGTTCTACTGTTCTGCCCAGGCAGGGTTGTAGCCAGTGAGGGACATGGCCAATTTACCCACTTTCATAAACACTTGAGCTCGGGACCAGCTCTCCTGCTTGCTATAAGTGATGAGAGATAAGGGAGGCGAGGAGGCCAACTTTTCCTTGTCTCTGCCAACAGCACTACACAGCCGACAAGAGTCAGAGTCAGCTCATCCTCAGTCCCATGTCCAGGGCTATCTCTGTTGTGCTACTCTTAGTAACTTTGTACTGAGTTAAAAAGCCTTCTCTTCTAAGTGCTGCAGGAGGTGAGATGCAGGGACAGTTCTCCTGCTCTCATGACCCCAGGGCCAGCTCTCCCACCTGCTGAAGCGGAAAAGGGGTGAGAGTCAGGGAAGAATCTCTCCCTCATCCATGACACCACATGGGAGAGGAGTTGCGGAGACAGCCCTCATACACTAATAGCCTCATAGATAGCTCACTTGCAACTCCCCTAATGTGTCCAATGCAAGGGACCACTCTCCGAAGTACTGTAGCTAACTAGTAGATGGGTCAGCTCTCCTACTTTTATGTTGCCAGGGCTAGTTCTTCCTAGACGCCCAGATGAGGGATGAGGCCAGTTCTTGACAGAACTCATACATCAACATACCCTTCCCTGGGCAGCAGCCCAGACAAGGGGCTTCCACCTAGACTTTGGTAGCAACAGACTATTGCTGCTATAGGGCCATGGACCCAGATGTGGCTCCCAGGAGTAGTATAGGCCAGGATCCCACCATGGTCCCAGATTGCATCACCAGCTACTCACATCAGGCTGTTCCTTACTACCCTTGAGTCTCTACTTCTGTCTCTTCACTGTGCCCACATCCTTCCTTCATTCCTTTTCTTCCATTTCTCCACTACTTATTTGCTCCTCTTTGTGGCACCCAGAGTCTCTGAGTCCATCTCAGGCATGAACTGCCCCCGCTCCCATTGTTCTTGTGGTCATCTCAGGCAAACTTCTTGTCTGGACTCCATTGCACTGGTCTGGTTGTTATCTAGGGCTCACTCATTACTCAGGTTGCCAGAGTTTTCTACTTTGGGCTCATTCCTGTCCTGTCCAGGGCTGCGGTTCCAGGTGGAGTTCTTCTAGTCTTTGGCTTGCTCCCTAACCTGACAGTCCATCTTGGCCTGTGGTCTGGTAGTTATCTCAGGCTTGGTTTTTTTTTTTTTTTTCAGGAGATGTTAAGCTTCCCTCTATTTACAGGTCAGAACACTGAGGGTAGACATAACCTCTCTCTTCTCTGCCACCTACTGACACATGTGATACAGCAGCCATACCTGCAATGCCTCTAAGAGCAAGCTCTTACAGAATTTTCATGAAATCAATGCCCTCTACTTCTTGTTTCTGATAGCTTCTTTCTTGTAGACACAATAAATCCAATCTCATAAATAAGCCACTCCTCTGATCATGACACTAATCCATTCACATGGGACAGTCCTTATGAGCTCATTGATGTCACTAGGCTTCATATGCATGAACTTGGAAAGACACATTCAAACAGTAACCTCTGACTGTGTCCTTAAATCTACATCTGGATTTTGTCTAAAGGAAAGTGTGCTCCATAGAGATGACACTTATGTTCCAGCTGTCATGCCTCACCTGGCAGGTGGTATTCTATGAGGAAACTTTTCTAATTTTTTCCCCTAAGCCCAATAGTTTCCAGCTGAATCCAAGTGAAGACTAGCAGATAAGAGCCTCGTGGCTGGAACCTGTGAATGCTAGCCTTCTGGTACAGAGAAGTACAAAAGAGAACAGTGGTATAGGGGAGAGTCTCTCATACTTTACTGAGAAAGGCTGTATATCTAAGACGTCATACTTCCATCTAAGAAGACAGGAATGAAATAAAAATAAGAGATTATCTTCAAAATAAAAGTGTGTTCTCTGGAGCCTGGTAAGTAAACACATTTCCTTTCAAAAGGGGAAGTTCAAAGTATTTTATTATAATCACAAAAGAACTTTCCATGTCACTAAATTGTCGTTTCTCAAACTGGGCATTTTTATGCTCAAATCTTCTTCTCAGCTTTCCATTTTGCTGCCTTGCTTCACCCAGCCCATGCTATTATTTGCAGAAAATCTTTTCCATCCTGAGTAAATCACTTCTGCTCCACCGTATTGCTGTTCCTATGAAACTAGGGACTGAGCAAACACTGGAATGATAATAACCACTCGTTGAAGGAAATACCTGGAGTGTTCCATAATTGGTTTTCTTGATAAAAAGAAAAAAAAAAGTTTCATCAATTTCTCCCTCTCTTTGACTGTAAGTCACAGAACATATTTTTAGTTAACCACAACACAATACTTGTTGGCTTAGGTATTTTCAGAAGTTCTCTACCAGTCTGCTTTGCAGACAATCTATTTTATCACTAATTAAAGCATTCCAACTTTCACCAGGCTGTCCCTAGGTACCCTTGGTTGGCTGGTTGGTTGTGGTGAGTGAGTAGATATTTTAGATTTGTTTCATTTGCCTTTCATGGAATAGCAATATCACATATTTTGGTATGAACACCTGTTCTTACTAGCCTTAGAAGATAAAAATGGTTTCAAAATTACCCTGGGATACCCCAATCCTGTCTAGCCTAGATACTCCACAGATTCCAGATGTTGGACTCAATTTCCTTAGGTTAAAGAATCAGCACAATGATTCTTTCTAAGTGCATTGCTGACAAAAGTATCACATAATTTTAGAGGCTAGCGTTGTAGTGGCTATGACTGATGGAAGTCTATAAAATGAACTCACTTTACAGGACAACATTTTAGTATCTCCTAAAGAAATAAAAAAGAGGAAACTACAGTATTTGAGAGAAATTCTGTGGAATCAGCACAAAATACATCAGAGCAGAGTGATGCAGCCACTTGAGGAAGAACTCAGCATAATCTGTAAAATAACAATAACAACTGCAATCATATAATCAGAAAATCACCAAAGTTTCAATAAAGAACTACCATGGATTAAGTATTTTATATGATTATTGTATTTCATTGTAACAAAACCTTATGAAAATATGTTATTTTGGTTCCATTTAACTAATAAAAAAGATTTGGGATCATCAAATAACAGTTAATTAAGTAATTTACGAAGAGAGCTACAATGTTCCAATGCTCAAAACCACAGTACTATGGGTGTTTGAAGAGGAAGAACAGGCAATGCACACAAACAGACACAAATAAGGTAGCATAGCCCAACAATTAACAAGCACTCTTCCAGGAAGATGGCTCTCTGGCATGAGTATGGAAAATGGAAGCTTCCTTATGCAGAAGCTATATCAAGGTACTGCCATGAGCTAAGACTCCTTTCTTTAATTCCTTGCCTATTAGAAAATTTTGTAACTTGGCTTATTCTGAGCTTTCCCATGAGGAAAACATCAGAGGACATGATCTCCTCTGATGCATGATGTTTTGATTGTAGTGATATTTTAATTATCTTTGTCGGGCTCTTTATGATTTGTTTGTGTGAGTTAATTTCCCTAGAAGAATTCAGAAATGGAGGGGCTAAAGTGATGATGCCTTAGAAGATAATAGCACTTGCTCTTGCAGAGGAGCGAGGTTTGGCGTCTGAATTCACATATTGAGTAACAACCATCTTAAGTTCCAGTTCCAGAGAATCTGAGGACTCACCTAACTTCTGCATGCACATGATATATATACAGAAAGCAAACACTCATATACATAAAATAAATATTTAGATAAAAAATTCATAAGCATGGCCAACAAGTTTGTATTTCAGGACAGGTGAAGTGGATGTCCATTGCTTTTCATTTTACTATATTAGAGACAAAGTCTACCTAACTTGCTTAAGGCACATGTTTTGAGTGAAAGTTTCTATACATTTAGACATCTAACCTTCCTGGTCCCAGCCTGTACTTTCACCATGGTGGATGTATCAAAGTATTCAAATAACTCAGAAAAAAAATATTAGCCAAGAAGTGTACACACACACACACACACACACACACACACACTTCAAATGGAACCAATCAGAACTTTTCCCAAGCAGTCTTTGAGGTAAGAGATAGTACATTTATTGCCTCCCCTAATATGGAGCAATGTGACTTTTGAGCTATGGGCAACCACTGTCTCTGTATTGTAGCCACAGCCCATAGGAATCAAAACTGCAGAGAGAGAAAATCATATATATATATCACTTCTCATTCTTTCAGCTTCTCATAGTCAGCAGACATTTTTCATTCATGCTGTGCTCAGTTAAGAAAGCTTTCTATCATTTTCCTCCTTAGGTACACCTAAGTCATACTAATTTTCAACAAAATGAACACCAAAATATATATTCTAATATGAAAGCAAATCATAAACACCAAATGAGGACAACCATGTACAGGTCCATACTTCATACATTTGCAACCAAGAGCAGGAGCTGAAAACCCTGGAATTTCTTTCTTTTATGTATCAGTTATAGTTGCAGGAAAAACTGAAACAAACACAAACATACACGCACACACACACACGCACATAGACACACACATGCATACATGTATACTACACAAAAATACATACACATATTCAAGCACACACACATACCAAACACACATACAGATACCCAAACATATATACAAATAAATGAAGAAATACCCTATATACATTTTTAGAAAGCTTAAAAAGCTGAACATTCTTACTAGATAGTAAAGTGCCTTTATCATTTCATTTTTTTCAGATAGATACATCCATAACAACCGCAGAGCTAAGAAAACGTTTCCACAATGTTTCTTTTTATTAATTAATTTGCATATGCCCATAGATACCTGTCATGGTGCACATGTAGAGGTAACGGGATAAGTTGGGGATCTGGTTCTTTCCTCACTCAGGATGATATTTTCAAGTTCCAGTGAGGTAACCCAGTCACAAAAGAACACACATGGTATACATTCACTGATAAGTGGATATTAGCCAAAAGGAAGATCAGAATACCCAAGATACAACTCACAGACCATATGAAACCCAAGAAGAAAGAAGATCACACCAAAGTGTGGACACTACAGTACTACTCAGTCGAGAGAAGAGAATAATCTCTGGGAAGCATAGGGAGAGAGGCATCTGGGATAGAGAGAGGAGGGGGAGGGAAAAGGGAGGCCAGTTCAGATATGGGAGGAGATGAGGGAGAAGTACGAAGGGTCAGGAATTTGAAAGTAGGTGTATTGCAGTGGGGAAGGGAAATCTGGGGGAAGCCACTAGAAAGTCCCAGATGCCAAGGACCCAAGAGGATCCCAGGACCCTACAGGGAGGACTTTAGCAGAAATTCTCAGCAAAGGTGAGTTAGAACCTGTAGAGACCATATCCAGTGGATAGGCATGGCCCCCAGTTGAGGTATGGGGCCACCCACCTTCCTCAAAAATATTAATACAGAATTCTCCCTGTCAAAAGGAAATGCAGGTACAAAGAGTAGAGCAGAAACTGAAGGAAAGGCCATCCAGAGACTGCCCCACTTAGGGATCCATCCCATCTGCTGATACCATGCCCAGACACCATTGCTGATGCCAAGAACTGCTTACTGTCAGGAGCCTGGTATAGCTGTCCCCTGAGAGGCTTTGCAAGAGCAAGACCAATAGACATACGGATGTCCACAGCCAAACATCAGACTGAACATGGGGACCCTAATGGAGAAGTTAGGGCAAGGACTGTAGAAGCTGAAGGGGTTTGTAATCTCATAGGAAGACCAATATCAACCAATCAGACCATCTCAAAGCTCCAAGGATTAAACCACCCATCATAGAGTACACAGAGGGTACCCATGGCTCAAGCTGGATATGTAGCAGAGGATTGCCTTATCTGGCATCCCTTGGTCCTGTGGAGGCCTGATGACCCAGGATAGGGGAACACTAGACCACTAGGCAAGAGTGTATGGGTGGGTGGAGGAGTACTCTCATAGAGACAGAAGGAGGGAAGAGGGGATCAGGGACTTGTGGAGGAGAAATTGGGAAAGGGGATAACACTTAAAATGTAAATAAATAAAATAACCAATAAAAAAAGAAAATTAAAAAAATCATTTCTATCATTTTTCTTATTCTGTCACTGAGCATGACTAGAAAGTCCTAGAAAGCCATGAGCAGAGAACCAGTCTATATATCCATCTAGGAGACCCCCAAGTCTCTGCACACAGGGCTGCATCTCTCTTGATTGACTATTCCTTCATTTCTTATCAGTATCAGCTTTTCTTCTGTCATGTGGAGTACTGGTTTAGCTGACTCAAGCAGGAACCTTTCATTAAACACCAACTTAGCATTTGAGAACAGGATTAAAGTGCTGAACCCAGGCAGCTGGCTAAGCGGCTCCAGGCATCATTCCTTGTG